AATGTTTTCGGTCTGTTTCCGGTATTTGTTAATGACGATGTGCTGTGAGATGTGAGACTGGAATTGCACAGGGGGAAATAACGTAGGCTATCTTTAGATGCGGATTTTGTTATAAACTAATATGTTTGCGCTGTGGACCAACACTATACATTGACGGGGAAGGGGGTAGCAATAAAGATAACACCATTAAACAGTTACACAACATAACAGAAATAATATCGATAGCAGCGTCCCTAGCAACCACCTTGGTAACAATGAAAACGTCGCGATTTCCTGAAGTAATCTTCGTAATAACTAGCAAACTAAAGATCATGTACATCCACTGCACACATAATCTGAAATAACAACTCATATTTCTCGCATCAAATGACATCAAAACGCATTTTAATGGCCAAACTAACTTTAAAATAGGCATTTTCCACTGAGAATAAAACGAAGTTCGGCCATGTTTTCTTTTTCTGCGGGGAGAAATTTGAAGATCACGTGACATAGACGCCAGCCATTGGAATGAATGGTGAAAAAAAACGGGGTTTGTCAAACAGAGCACATGGTGTAGTCCAAACGATAGCTGGGGACTATGGGTAGTGTAGTGTCTTCTGCCATCCTTTACTCCGAAAAAATATTTGTTTCTCCGAATCGAAGGGGAAAAATACAAAAGCATTGCACACAATTTAAACCAATCAATGTTGTGTAATTAACAAGGATAATCTGGTGTTTTTTAGTCGATGAGTAGTGCAGATATCACTGTAAAATCAATCGACAGTAAGAGGAATACTTACTTCCGGGTGTACAATTCTCCGTTATCCAATGGGAATGGACGCTCACATTGCCTTTAAGGACAGCCGACACAAACGAATGCCGTGCTTCCACGAGCGTCAAATCCCGCCGCAGATGGGAATACATTGCAATCAGTTGAAAGCTATTTGCCTCCCTTTATGACGCTGAAGGAGCCTAGGAGCGTCACAACTGGACGCCACGGACACTGACCAAACGTCGCTCCTGGACGCTTAGGGAGTAAGAGTGTGTTGTCCCTGGATGAACTGAGCAGGCAGAGTGCCTGTAGCTTCACGGAGCAGCTAGCAGAGAGACAAGAAGCTAGCAGCAGCAGTCACTTGACAGAGCCGTCACTCAATGTGACCACGCCCTAATTTATGCAAACACTTTAAGACCTAATATGAATAAAAGAGTCGTGTTAGAAAACAATTCACTCACAGATCCATAATCATGAAGGTGGAATCTAACTATATTCATAATAATATCTATTGCATCCATGGGTAGAAACATGTTTTTTTATGCTGTAAAGTTGGGCATTTTAACATGGGGGTCTATGGAAATTGCTCCTTTCTGCAGTCAGTCCCTATCGGCCAATATATGAACTGCAGTGTGTGGCACTTCCGTATTGGCCAAACGGGCCGTTGCCCGGGCAACATTAGCCTGTACCTGTGCACGTCCCTGATCAAGACTATGAGCTACCACTAAACAACTCACAGTCTGAAAATTACCATTAATAAAAACCCTGAACGTTTACTTTTCGTTTTAAACATCGTTTTAAGGTGTAAACGTGTCATTTAGAGGTGTAAACGTGTCATTTAGAAATGCGCGTTCCCGTGACAAGGGGGGCATTTCATGATGGGGAGGCATAATGTGACACAACACCGGCTCTTCCCCAGAGTTTGCCGCTTGGTTGGAGCATAAGAGAAAATTGACGGTGACGACCCACTTTGATTCATTCAAACATTCGAAAATGCTTTCTGCTGCTGCGGACAAGAAAGCCAAACAAGTCACGTTCACCGAGGCATCAACATCCAAAACCCTTTCGAGGGCTACAAGAAACGAGGTGAGTAGCCTACAAGATTGAAGCTGGTCAGATAACGAACAAGTAAATGAAAACAGAATGAGGCGGAGAAGTGTGTGTGTGTGTGTGTGTGTGTGTGATTAAAATAGCCCTATTGCTTTTACAGTAAATAAACATTGAATGTGTTTAATTCAATAGTAAAGGGGTTTAACGTTAATGGCAGGTTGTGTGTGAGAGAGAATAAATAAGACAGCCCAATATTTAAAAAAAAATATTTCGCATATTTCGCAACTTTCCCGCAATTTCACCGCATAAAATCACATAAAAACCCTGCATGTTTAATCGCATAATCAAGGATTTTAGCCCGCATAATTAAGGATTTTTGCCCGCGTTTTTCTAGAGGGTCTATATATAACTTGTGGCTGGGTTACAAGGATCTGTGTTGATATGAAGTGTTTTCTTTTCCTTAAGTCCATTTACAAAATATGACTGCTTGCCATCAGATCCTGTAGTAGAGCTACTCGGAACACTGGATTTCAGCAAGCACCTTCATTTTGGCCATGGTGGCGGCGATGTCTCCTTCTAGGTCCAGTTTTTCTTTTCTTCTCCCCAGCTCATGTTCCTATTTTTCCACAGCATGTCTTTGTTGAAGTAGATTTTGTAAAACCATCAGGGCGGCCACTTCCACCTGAGCATTTATATAAGCAGACGCAGTTCTTGATATGCCTACTCTGGATCTTGAGTCATGAAAAGTCAATTTGCTATTTCTGTTTCCAATATTTAACACATTGTCCACTCCATCCTCATTTTCGTTGTTATCACTCATTTTGCATGTTCCAATATGCACACAACAGTATTCACAAATGTCAATCTTGTCACAGACGTGGTGCCTGATCAGTGATCACAGTTGTGCACGTTACAAACAATTCCGGAAATCCAAACCTTCGCCGATATCGGCATAACCAGCACGCACAAAACACGCCAAATAACAGTCCCCAATGGACTAACGGCAGCACCACTTGCAAACTGTGTTCCAAACAAAAAATACACAGAATGAACGCAATTGTGCCTACCGCCTCAACTGGCTGTGATGTGCTCCAGTCAATCAGTTTCCGCCTGCGGCCACGGTTAATTCTAGCTTTTCCTGTCCACTCCGCCGAGGGGGAAACTGTCCCAGTGTTCCAACTCCGTGATCCCGAATGTCCGGCTTTGTCTGCTTAGGATCCAGTCCATTCCGTCGCGTCTTCGATGCGGCGATCCTTTTCTGTTGACTAATGTAGCGGCACAAACTCCCTATGAGTTATGCTGCTGAGAGTCTAAAATGTACTCGCGTTCCATATAAGAGTCCGAAGTAATTCATAGTCCATAGTGTTTAATAAAATGCAAACAAACAATGTACAACTCCCAACCTGACGGTCAGAGTGCCATTCACCCTCTTCCTACATCATATCCTCCCAAACCGGCATCCAAAAGGTGACCTAAATAACATTAAACCACATCCACGTGACCATTGGCGGAAGTGATAAACAATAAGAATTAAACGCGATGCAAACAGAAATGAAGATAATAATACAAATAATAAGTAATGGCAAAAGCATTTTGGCTTCTACAGGCTGCCTTGAAGGAGGCACGCCAGGAGGTCGCTCGCAAGCCAGCCCTGGCTCAGGAGCTTGTTGCCTGAGTGGCTACAGCTTCTCACAAGTAGTCCTGAAGACTTGTCTGAAGTCTCTAACCCTTTCCTGGGGTATGACCAGGCCAGCTCCTGCTCTCGATCCCAGTGTTCCGGCGATCCAGCTGACACTGGAGGGGTCCCATTGCGGCATACGTAGTCCTCCAGAGCTATCCCGTCACCGCCTTCGTGCCCGTCCTCCGGAGCAGTCCCGTCGCCGCCTTCCTGCCCGCCCTTCGGAGCTGTCCCATCGCCGCCTTCTTTCCCGACCTTGTGCCCGAGCCCGGCCCCCTGAGTTCCCCAGCCGCGGCCTTCGCCCTCGAGCCCGGCCCCCTGACTCTTCCAGCCGCTGCCTTCGCCCTCATGCCCGGCCCCCTGAGTTCGCCCGCTGTGGCCTTCACCCCTTTTTGAACTCTACCTTTCCCCCGAGCCGTCCGCCCGAGACCCCCACCATGAACTCTGCCTTGCCCCCGGGCCGTCCGCCCTAGACCCCCACCATGAACTCTGCCTTGGCCCCGGGCCGTCCACCTGAGACCACTTCCGGTTCCTCTGCCTTGCCTCTGGGCTGTCGACCCAGACCCGTCCTCCGGACTCCCTCCACCCACCCTTTTGGGAATGTTGGACTTTGTTATGGACGTCTAGAATGTTATCCATGCCATGTTTTGTGATCTTCAGCTTTGAAAATAAAGCTCGCCTTTTGTTTATAGACCTCTTACCTTTTTGTAGTCAGCATTTGGGTCCTACCTTTTCCGCAATCTTAACACTAGCAAGTTAACACTCTGTTCCATCAACGGTAACTACATTTCAATTGACTTTTGATTAATCATCACATTAACGTTACTGTACCTTTGTCTTTCTCCCGTTTCTCCTCCATAGTTTATGGGCACTGTACACAATGTAGGCGTAGTTCTGATAGGATAAGATAATAAGATGTACTTTATTGAGCCCAAATTGGGAGATTGTTTTGTTATGAAATATCGTTAATAGTATTATTTAATAATTTTCCTCCCCCCAATTTTCGGCGCCCCCAATCGATGGATGCGACCTTAGCATTCGCCTATACTGCCTATGCCAAGGGCCGGCCCTGGTCGAGATCTACGTAGATAGGCAGACAAAGCGATTCTGACCTGGTTGTTTTTGGTATTTGTATATTGTGGTGGAACATTACGGGAAATAATTCACCGTGATAGTGTGTTGCACCACGGACCATTTAGTGGGTGGTACCTTGTTCCGGTCGTTGTTGATGTTAACATTCCAGCTTCACGGTAGCACGTAGCAAGTATATTCTTTTGTCTGTAACCTAATGGGAAATAAAGTGTGGAGTTCTATACTACGCCGTGGTTCGCACACGTGGAGGCGCACTTTGCCGGCCGTCAGGTCCGTGACGAGGACCTGAAGTATTTCCACGTGGTGGCGGCGCTGGGGAGCTCCACGTCGTCGGGGGGGGGAACGGACCGCAGTTGACGACAGCTAATGGCAGCCCCATCCGCACATATGGCATGAGGCCTATGTGTAAACTTATGTGTTGGGGGGCAGCGGTTCAACTGGGACTTCGTCACAGCAGATATTTATTTTCCCCTCCTTGGGCCAGATTTCTTTGTGTGCTCATGGGCTTCTGGTGGACGTTGGAAACAAACGCTTGGTTGATGCCTTGACGTTTTCCTCCCTCGTGTGTACGGTTGGCAAGGTGGCATACAACTCATTGTCAGGTAGTCACAAGTATCTTGTGTTGTTGGCCGAGTTCTCAGACCTGACGCTGCCCACCTTCTCTGCACCCACCACCAAGCACTCTGCACGCGTCACCAAGGGCGGGGCTGCACCCCTGCCGGCGAAGGTTGAGGCTGTCGCAGCGTTTCTTCGCCCACACATGGCGCGGTCGCTCCGTGAGTTCCTTGGGATGGTGACCTTTTACCACCGTTTCATCGCCCGGGCCGCCCACATTATGTGTCCGCTGTATGAGGCATTGAAGGGTAAGGCCCCCATCCAGGAGATCAGCTGGATGGCAGAGGCTGAGGTTGATCTCTTGTGTGACGTCTCCACGGGCCAGCCGCGTCCAGTCGTTCCCGCCAGCTGGAGGCGCTCCATGTTCGAGGCGGTGCACAACCTGTGGCACCCCGGTGGGAAGCCTTCGCAGCGGATGGTGGCCGCAAAGTTCGTCTGGCGGGGGCTCAAAAAGGAAGTGAGGGCATCTGCTAAGGTGTACCGCCACACGAAGGCCCCCCTGGAGCAATTCCTCGTGCCCCTACGACAGGCCTTTCCGAGTATTGAAACATGGGGGAAAGCACTTGGTGGTCCTGGGTGGCAGGGCCGAGCACGTCTCGGTGGACCGGGTGAAGGCTGCTCACCTGGACTTGCACCAGCCGGCTGCTGGCACGGCCTCCGCGACGGGGCCACCCCCCGACCTTGACCCCTGTCACCGACCTGGGGCCTGCGGTTCTGGTCCCACCACTCCCATCGGCCGCCCCTGCGGGAGTCGCCTCTCCGGCTCCTGTTCTCCGGAGTCGTGGTGGTCGGCCTGTCGCTCCTCCCCGCCGCACGGACTTTGTGTATGGGTGAATTCTGGGGGGGCTTGTGTGGTGGAACATTACGGGACATAATTCACCTATTCACCTATTCATATACAGTATAGTGTGTTGCACCACGAACCAGTTAGTTAGTTAGTTGTTAGAATTCCAGCTTCACGGTAGCATGTAGCAAGTATATTCTTTTGTCTGTAACCTAATGGAATATAAAGTGTGGAGTTCCATACTTAACACACCGCCCCCGACTCCAATTCAATCGGCTCTACAATATAAAACTTTTGGCCCCAATTCCAAACAACCCGAGCAATCCAAAGACTAAAAGATATACACATCACAGAGAGAGATCAAATCAGATATTCATCAACACCATAGCCTGAATGGAATGAGTGTCTGTTTCAAAACCATATTTTCCTACTCTTGCTATAAAGCAACAGTGTAACTGGTAGACAAATCAGTCACATTAAGATCCAATCCTCGAGTAATCGACAATTCTGGGTTGATCCGGAGCTGGAAAATAATTGCTATCTCTGTTATATTTCTTTATTCCTGTTTACTTTTATTTTCCTCTACATGTATTCAAGTTATAAAGATGATTTATCAATTGTTCCATTCAGCAACATTTTACAGAGTTTTAGGTTGCACTCTAACTTCAAAATAACAATAAGTACCTCGGACAAAGAAATTAACAGAAAATACAGCAAATAAATAATGTCATCATCACATTGCCTGTAAATCTGGTTTGATATGTATGCCCTGCCCTTACACTACTGTCTGTGCCCCGATGGGCGGTGTGAAACTATGACGAAAAAAAAACATGATTTAGCCCTACTTATAAAATTAGGTAACATTGCATGAAGCCAAATGGGTGTAGGAAGGAGGGCCATTATGGGGGCATTTCTAGACACATTTCTGTTCTTGATTTGGTTCTTGTCTGAGTCTTCCTCTCTTTTCTCCTCCTGTAAATTAAGGAAACAGTTTAATTTTAATGAGATGCACAAGGCTGGTGATGTGATCCTCGGTGGTCTGTTTGAGGTTCACTACACCTCTGTCTTCCATGAGCCGACGTTCACGTCAGAGCCAAATCAGCTCAGCTGCCAAGGGTAAGTTTCAAACACATGAAGTAGACACCATTTACAGATAATTATATATATATATATATATATATATATATATTGATTTTTCAAGTGGTTAATCTAGAAATGTTTTTGTTAGTTTTGACCCTCCAGGGTTTAGACATGCCATGACCATGGCCTATGCTATTGATGAGATCAACAAAAACCCCAACCTGCTACAGAATGTGTCTCTGGGATACAGTCTGTACGACAACTGTGCCACACTTGTAATTGGATTCAGTGCTGCATTGTCACTAGCCAGCGGTCGAGAGGAGCAGTTTCTGCTTCAAGAGACCTGTTTAGGGACCACCCCAGTCCTTGGGATTGTGGGAGATCCCTTTTCAACATTTTCAATCGCCACATCTGATGTGATAGGTTTATTCAAATTGCCCATGGTAAGTTTTCTGTCTTCAGTTTTAGCTGTTCTTTTGATGCACCAAATGTGTATATACTTAAAAGTGAAAGGATGGTAAATATTACATTAAATCTCAGGCTTTATTTGGTAGAAGTTTTATTTTTAATGCATATTTTAAAACAGTTCATTTGTAAAAGATGAAATTATTTATTTATTTACCCTGAATTGAAGTAATAGTAAAAAGTCACACTTGTGTTAATAATGTATGTCTTTATAGGTCAGTTACTTTGCCACATGTTCCTGCCTGAGTGATAGGCGGAGGTTTCCATCCTTCTTCAGAACAATCCCAAGTGATGCTTTCCAGGTGAAACAAACTATGTTCTAGAAATGCAAAGAGTTTACTGAGCTGTAATTGTGTGTAAATGTACTGTGTCGGCGTTGTGTATCCTTAATTAAACTACGTAGATATAGAAAATAAGTGTAGTGGTAAAATCGACTCTTATTTTATTGTGAGACATGAACAGGTATCCCTGTGCTCTATATTTATTTAGGTGCGTGCTATGATTCAGATTATGAAACACTTTGGCTGGACTTGGGCCGGTCTGCTGGTCAGTGATGATGATTATGGCCGCCATGTTGCCCGATCCTTCCAATCTGACTTAACTGAGTCTATTGGAGGTTGTCTGGCCTACTCTGAGATTTTGCCCTGGGGTGACAACCCAGCTGAACTTAAGAGGATTGTCCATTTAATGAAGAAATCAACCGCTCGTGTGGTCATTGTGTTTGCACATCAGATCCACATGATTCAACTAATGGAAGAAGTATTTATATTATCAATCTATATCTCTATCTATTTATAATCTACCCATCTAAAATATCTGTTTTAAATATAATGTGTAGTAGTTTAAGTATTCATTCCTAGTAAGTAAATTATGTTATGTATACATCAGTCTGAAAAATTTGATTAAATAAGAGCAAATTACAGGTGGTAAGGCAGAATATGACAGGCCTGCAGTGGATGGCCAGTGAAGCCTGGACTACAGCAACTGGGCTCCAGACACCCGGCTTCATGCCGTACCTGGGTGGCACCCTGGGCATTGCCATCCGTAGAGGAGAAATATCTGGGCTTAAGGATTTTCTACTTAAAACAAGTCCAGACAAGTCCAATAATCATAGAAATAGAATGGTAAGAGTGTTACCTTACAATCATTTCTGTAAATTCCATAATTATAATTGCTATTTCTGTGAATTCTTTGTTTTAATTACATTTCAGGTAAGTCAGTTTTGGGAATACACATTTCGGTGTACATTTGCACCACCTCCAGCAGGTTGGGTGGAAGCTGGGGGAGCTCTATGCACTGGGCAGGAAGATCTAGCAAGTGTGGAGACTGAGTTTTTGGATGTTTCAAACCTCAGGCCAGAATACAATATTTACAAGGCTGTGTATTCCCTGGCATATGCCCTTGATGATATGCTGCGCTGTGTGCCAGGGAGAGGGCCTTTCAGTGGGCACAGCTGTGCGGCTTTGCAAACACTGGAGCCATGGCAGGTGTGATATCAGTTTGCACTACACCTGTTTGGTTTTTGAAATCTCCTGCTTCATCTTGAGTTAATTAATGAAATAGATTTGGGGAAAAGAAGACATACTCTCCTGATTGTCTTTGAGTAGATGACGACATCTTTAATCATAGAAGTTACAAGACAAAATAAAATTCCCTTTTTTTCTTGTGACAAACTTAATTACTTAATGGCAACAGTGGTTGATGTTTTTGACTATAATAATTGACAAATAAATCAACAATATATCATACAGAACATTACAATACTAATGCAAAATCAACAACATTAAATATTTGTTCTCACCTTCTCAAATTATATGTCTGTGTTATATCCCTGTGTAGCTTATACATTACTTGGAAAAGGTCAACTTTACAACAACATTTGGGGATCAAGTATCATTTGATGAGAATGGTGATGCCTTACCAATATATGACATCATAAACTGGCAGTGGCTCCCTGATGGAAAAATAAATGTTCAGAATGTGGGTGTTGTTAAGAAGTCTGCCTCCAAAGGTGAAGAACTCACACTTGATGAAGAAAACATCTTCTGGAGCTTTGTCTTCAAACAGGTTAATCCTGTTTATTGTTTTTTCTTTTTATCTTGGTACTTTATGACACACAATAACACAATCAAAAAGTGTTGAATAACTGTTCTATAACTTTTACAATCCTGACAGCCACCCCAGTCCAAGTGCAGTGAGAGCTGTTCTCCAGGTAGCCGCATGACCAGAAAAAAGGGACAGCCTGTTTGCTGTTATGACTGTGTCGCTTGTTCTGAGGGAAAGTACAGCAATGAAACTGGTTGGTATCATTATAAAACGGCATCCTAAACCAGCGATTATACTTTTGTCACTTTCTTGATGCCCAGGTGTAAAAAAAGTACATGTCCACTACTAGATACATAGCGAGCAATACAATTTTGGGCATTAGTGGCCCATTCAACTTAACTGTCAGTGTTCTCTTTTTTCTCTTATTCTAACAGACTCCATGGAGTGCAGCAGTTGTCCAGAGGACTTCTGGTCCAGCCCCCAGCGTGACCACTGTGTTCCTAAAGAAACGGAGTTCCTCTCTTATCAAGAGCCTCTTGGTATCTGCTTGACAACCGCCTCTTTACTCGGCACGTGTATCTGTGCTGTTGTCCTAGGAATCTTTATCCATCACCGTAGCACACCCATGGTACGCGCCAACAATTCAGAACTGAGTTTCCTGCTCTTAGCATCACTTAAGCTATGTTTCCTGTGTTCACTGCTGTTTATCGGCCGTCCCAGAATGTGGACATGTCAATTGAGACATGCAGCATTTGGGATAAGCTTTGTACTTTGTATCTCTTGTATTCTTGTTAAAACCATGGTGGTTCTGGCTGTGTTCAAGGCCTCCAAGCCAGGAGGTGGAGCCAGTCTGAAGTGTTTTGGTGCTGGACAGCAGAGAGGGACAGTTTTGCTTCTTACATCCATTCAGGCAGTGATTTGTACTGCTTGGCTTGTCTCTTCCTCACCAGTGCCTCATAAAAACACTCAATACTACAATGACAAAATAGTGTATGAGTGTGTAGTCGGGTCCACAGTTGGATTTTCAGTGTTAATGGGTTATATTGGCCTACTTGCTATACTTAGTTTCCTGTTAGCATTTATGGCAAGGAATCTTCCAGATAGTTTCAATGAGGCCAAACTCATCACTTTTAGCATGCTGATCTTCTGTGCTGTGTGGGTGGCCTTTGTTCCTGCTTACATAAACTCCCCAGGCAAATATGCAGATGCAGTAGAAGTATTTGCCATCCTAGCCTCCAGTTTTGGCCTCTTGATGGCACTGTTTGGTCCCAAATGTTACATTATACTGCTGAGACCAGAGAGAAACACAAAGAAAGCTATCATGGGTCGTGGAATAACCAAGATGGAAATGTAGCACAAACAATAAATAGATAAAATGGTCTGAGGCCTATAACATATAAACTTGTTTTTTGTAATGTTTTATTTCCTTTGTCCAAATAGAAGTCCTGTTCACACAAGCACTTTAAAAGTCACAACACAATGAGGTGGTATTTGAGGCCAATGGGAAGGTTTGACAACACAATGGGTCAAAAGCCAAACAGGTCAATAACCAATGGCGTTGGCAGCCACATTTGTGTGTTTACAAGCCAAAACTCTGTTTTCCTTGTCCACACATTTACATTGAAAATGAAGTTCCTGAACACCTTGGTAGTTTTACATAAGCTTAATGTTCAATGGACTTAGAAGCTGTTTGGGTGTGGACCAAAGGCCATAGTAATTGGTATGTTATTGAAAATACCCATGTGGTGTTGCCTGAAGACTTAAATATTTAATCTATTTCTGGAATAAATAATGAAATGTCTGGGTAAAACTGATTATTCCTTTATTATTCCCTTCATTCCCTGTGTTTTAATACAATAACACAAGCACATATATGACAGTTTGACGTAAAGATACCATTGTCAAAGCAAAGAATCATAACTCAGCCTAGGTTGCTCTTACTTTACCATCTGAATTGTACACCTTTCCTTTATCATATTTTGCATTTTTGCATTTGAGACGAACAGATTAAATATCATGTGCATATACACCAGTGCTTCTCAAAGTGTGGTCCACAGACCACTGGTGGTCCGTGATCGCCCCCTGGTGGTCCGTGAGTATATTGGTAACATTTCACATTTGAAATAAATAAATTAAAGTTTTCCGCACTCTCGCGGGAATATCTCCGCAATGGAGCGAGTTTAAGTTTTCGAATGCATGATATATCCCAGCGAAACACCTTCATCACACATGTTGCCACTTGTTTGTACCATTTTCAGGTGATTTGTAATCTGTTCTAGAAAAACGATGTGTTTTTGGATGAATGGATTGTTCAACTATTATTCCTAGATTGAAACCCTTTATATTATTGCATGTTCTAGCTTCTCTATGTTGCTTTCATAAAAAAAACACTGATATTGGTGTGTTCATTATTCCATGAAGAAAACTTAAAAATACAAAATAAAATATATGGTTATAGACTTATTTGCTGAAACAAATAATGTATTTGCTGATATGACATAGCATTTATTCTAAAGTTTACTTTATTAAACTAACATAATTAATTAAAAGGTGTACTTTGTGCATATATAGGGATATATATATGCAGGGATATTGTATGTTGTGCCACCCATCAGGGAACAGGGGTTCCCTGATGGGTGGCACAACATACAATATCCCTGCCTATAAAATTAAGTAATCTTATATGAAGAATAGAATCAGATGTGAGCGGGGAGGCCATTAGACACATCATTTTCATGTGTATCTACCTTGTCTTTTTGTTCTCATTTTTCTTGTTGTACCTCATCCTTAATCTTAATGAAATGCAAAAACCTTGTTATGTGGTTATAGTAGGGCTGTTTTAGGTGCACACATATCTGTCTTTCCTCTGCAGACATTATCCAGAGCCACAACAGCTCAGCTGAAAAGGGTACGTTTCACACATGTGTACAAATGATGCGTTATTTATACTGAGGAAGAAAATCTTACTGTGCTGAATGTAAACACAAGAAGCAATCTTTCAGGAAATTCTAAAGATACTTTTGAATTATGAAATATGTGTTAAAAATCGTTAGTATTGTTATATTGTGTATTTGAAATTATATAATTCTTAAAGTAAAACTTTGTTAAAATGTAAAAATATTTATAGAGTCCAGTAGAGGGCTGAGCCTGTCTGATATACACTGAACAAAAATATAAACTGGGGGTTACGTATTGTAACCCTAGTTATATAAGCACAATCGGAGCCCTCTGTCTTTCCTATGCTGCTCGCTGAAGGACAGTCGGGAGGCGTAGCCCCCTTATATACTGTGGGCCTGCGCGCGCATTCAGGTAGGCTCGCCCCCCGATTGGCCGGCTACGTTTATGCAACTCAGTAGGTGAATGCCCGCATAGCATGATAGAGAGTAGTACCCATAGAGTCCAGTAAAGGGCTCCGCCTGTGCTTATATAACTAGTGTTATAATACGTAACCCCCCGTTTCATATAAACCAGCGGTTTTCAAAGTGTGAGGCGCGCCCGAGAGAGCTTCAGGGGTGGCGCAGCGTGAGAAAAAAATAACGAGAAACAGTGAAATCTAGCTGGTTAACTTCAGCTAACTTTATGCGACATGGATCAACATGGATCAACATGGATCGATTTGGATCGATTTGTTGTGAAGTTACCTAAAGGGAAAGAAGAGACAGCGGCAGAAAACATCACTTGCACACTTTTGTCTGTCTGTGGAGACCGAGTTCCTCCACCTCGCCAAAAAGGCTGTAAAAGTGCTCATTCCCTTCACCTACCTGTGTGAGTGCGGGTTTTCCGCATTGACTTTGATAAAAAGCAAGTACTGGTCAAGCAGGGGCAGATCTACCGGGGTGGCATGGGGTGGCAACTGCCACCCTAAAAATAGCCTTGCCACCCCAGTTGGCAGCTTTGTTTTGAAATAAAGGTTGTGGCTCATCGGACATTTATGAGAGAGAATCCCTAATGTCCGGTGAATGCAGCACAAGACACGAGCCTTGTAACCCTTCCCCCGGCCCTGGCGCAAGCGAGGAAATGTGATTGGCTGCGATTTCATTTGAACGGGGCGGCACATTCGGACCCAAGTAGACAGAAGGAATGAGGTATTTGCGGTCTACAATGACAGAGAAGAGACTGTCAAGTTCGGCTGTACTCAGCATTGAATCAAAACACACTAAAGCTTTAGATCTTAATACGTTTGTGAGGCGTTTTGCTGAACAAGATGGTAATTGCCGCATTCAGCTTTTATAGGCATGCCAATGTAGCAGGATAGACTGTTCAGCCCTATCACCACACGGGGCAACCTTTATAAAGAGGGGTCAGTGTCGCTCTTGCTCTTTGGCACGAAGGCCACTTCCGGGTTCCGCTGACGTGACGTGCTTTCTCCGCTGGCACCGGTGAGTTTGCAGTGGCTGACGTTTGTTATACACATAGCATGACAATTAGCCTGAATACTAAATGTATCGCTGGTTGTAGACCATTGCAGGGATCCTGCAGCCCATGTCTGCTGCCGCTGTAAATGAAGCTCTCCTGCTGTGTGTTTGTCTGAACTTGGCCTGATCGGTAGGTAGACCTTCTGCTTGTCTCATTCTTCCTGAATGATCTTAACCTATTATTGTTATTGTAACATCACCTGATCGCTTAATGTCTGCTAGGCTCTGCGCTGGAAGCGTGATAAAGGACTGCTGTTTTGCCTCCACGTCTGTGTTGCATCCACGACTGCTCTACATCTACGAGTGTCTTGCCTGTTGCCTGGACGGCTGGTCTGCCCCAGGGTCTGCCCTCACGGCTGTGTCTGTCTGCACAGCCGGCTTGCCTGCCCTACTGTGCTTCACCGCCACACTACTGCCTGGCGGGTGTTGCTCTTGGCCTACATTGTCTGTACCAGCCTCTTGGTATCACTGTGCCTTTGCTCTTCATTACAGGGCCATATTTTAAACATTGTTATCGCGGTTTGTTCGATTAATCTCTGTTCATGATTAGTTATTTCATTGAGTTAAGTTTGTTTTGTTTATTTATTTCAAGATTAAGTAGACTGTTAGGTTGATTTTCGTTTCTTTGGTTTAGTTTTCGACCCTGTTGCTTTACATTTGTTTAGTTTATTTCAGTTAATATCAGTTACTTGAAATCAGTATTTTGTAGTATTCTTGACTTTTTATTGTCTTATAGTTATCTTATGTGTTGGTCAGTGTATTAATTTGTTTTTACTGTTTATGCCAGTAATTGTGTCTTGTTTGCCCCTCTGAGAGCCAAAGGTGTGATGCTGGTGTCCCCGGTGGTGGCTTTCCCCTTTGTGTGTCGTGCTGTGCTCCCCCCTGATTTGTGTTCCTTCGTGTGAGTGTGTAGTGATCACGGGTGCCTTAATTTACTTTGTTGGGATCCCTCTCACCCCTCGTTACCTCTATCCACTGGTAAGCCTCAGCATCCCTGAATTAAGAGTTCCCCCCTTTATTTCCAGTGTGTATAATGAGCTTATGGTGTTTTTAATGATATTTTAATGCCAGAAATAAAACATTTGACAAATTGGAACCACGTCTCCTGCCCCTCAGTATCACGAACCTGAGTGCCTTGTTGGTACTTGGAATAATTATTTCCTTGGGTGCAATTCCCAAGGTGGCGTTGTCTGGCTTTTAGTTGAATAGGATTTCCAACAAACACCCCCCACGTGCCGCCACACCAACTTGATGCTCTGCTCACGGATGACTTGATGAGCATAAAAAACTGTTAGGATGATGACCTTACGTGTGTAAATATTTTTTTTTCTTTCTGGGGGTCTGCCCCCAAAAAACTGTTTTAAGTCCTGAGAAAGTCAAATAAGACGGTGTGTAAAACTACACTGCCCAGCTAAAAAAAAGTAACCACTTTGATTTAACTAGGCCAGTAGGTAAGGACATTCCACTGGATAATAATACCCCTGCATTATAGCAGCAACAACAACAATAATAATAATAATAATAATAATAATAATAATAATAATAGCAATAATAATTGGGAGGGTGGGTGCGGCTGTTCTTATGTTCTCTGAGGGGAGGCTCACCTTCCCACACTTTGAAAACCCCTGATATAAACCATCAGGGGGGCACCAAATCTCCACACTTGCTAGTGGTGTCCCAGACTCTCCTGACCTGGGCAGCCCCTTGCCTGACCAGCCTATGGGCAATGTATCTACTAGGAGAGCAGAACAAAGTCGCTGACTTCCTCTCTCGTAACAAGCCTCCACCGGGGGAGTGGCGGCTTCATCCAGAGGTGGTGCACAGCGTCTGGGGTGTCTTTGGCAGGGCAGAGGTAGATCTCTTTGCCTCGAGGATATCGACCCACTGTCCCCTATGGTTCTCCTTGACAGAGAAGACCAGCCCTTTGGGTCAGGATGCC